CTTTAAAAAAAAAAAAAGGATCAGTTCTATCTCCCCATCTTAGGGTCACTTAGCTAATCTCTGCCTGCCTTTCTACCCCTTCCCCCATCCTCACCTTCCTCCTGAACATGCCCTTGCCATGCCCTTGCACATGGCCATGGGACCATACCTGCCTCCATCTCTGCACGAGGCATTCCTCTCCTTCCTGAACAACACTCGCCTTCCTGTGAATGTGGCTCCCTGAGCATCCCTACAGCCTGGGCCCTTGCTGACTCTGTGCCAGGAACGACACTTGTCCGCTTCAAGACCTGGCTGCTTTGCCACCTCCTCAGATGGCCTTCCCTGACCACTCACCCCCCTCCATACCATTTTTCTTGTTTATTTTCTTAAAAGCACTCACCACTACCCAAAATCATCTTCAACTGTTTGCTTGCTCTCTGCCTCCAGCACCTGCAGGTAAACCCCCTGAGCCCGGGGACCTCTGTCCTCATTCACTGCTCTATGGCCAGTGCCCAGAACACTTCCTGATGTGCCGCAGGTGCTCAATACATTTGTTGAAAACAGAATCAATTAAATGAAATAATGAATATAGAGCTCTAGCAACAGGGATTTTCATAGCATGAAAATAATATGTGCTTGCACTCACTGCTGATGCTAGACGGAGGGCTCATGAACGTTTGCGGTGTGGGGTACAGTTCAGTGGTACAGCACTTGACTGGCAAATGTGAGGTCCTAAGTTCTGTCCCCAGCATCACCACCATCACCACCACAGCAAAACCCATTGGAACAGAATTTTGCACATTAGCGATGTTCAGGAATTTTCCTGGCAGAGGAGGGAGCTGTCTGACTTTGGTCTCTAAGGCTACCCCTTTCCTAGTGGAGCTTTCCAGAGACCCACAAGGACAGCTTGCCACAGGTGCTGCTCTTTTAAGTCTGTGATTATTCCTTTAAATGCAAAATACAGATGACCTTTTGTGAATTAAGAGAAAAATGGGGTTTTCCCCAATTGTTTATTTATGGAATAAAAGATGATCTAAATTTAACATTAAGTAATTTTAGGACACACACCTTCCAATATACATCACCATCTTCACTATTAAAGTTATAAGTTATAAAAATTATAAGTTATATAAGATTTTCATTTTCTGGGTTGAGTCCTTCTTGATGCTTTCCCACCCAGTCACCAAATGTGACTGGACATGTCCACGTCCTCCCCTTTTCAGCACGCCTCCTCCTGTCTTCCTAAGGCTGGGCAACAACCCCTCCAGTTCTCTGACAGTCTCCTCTGGTCTAGTCCCTCCTGGGATGGCAGAGTGAGTATGATGACCCTAGTCCCGGCCACTATCCAGTTGCACTTCTTCCCAGGGGCCTGTCCTTAAGGGATGAAGTCCAGATGTGATAGAGCACCTTGAACATCCTGCCATCTCTGACTTTTCTTTCACTCCCTTCTTTACCTCTGGCAAAACAGCCCCTTCCCATCTCTCAGGCCCGTGCCCTTGCACATGGCCATGGGACCATGCCTGCCTCCATCTCTGCACGGGGCATTCCTCTCCTTGCTTCAGAACCCACCCAGACGTACTTGGGAAGCCTTCACTGACCCCTGTACTGAAGCCCCCTCCACCATCCTGTGCACACGGCTTGTTACGATTGTTCTGTGTGACTCTTGTCCTTTTGGGACCAAGGTACCCACTGTCCCATCTATGACCGATTTTTATCTTCTTAGATGCATCTCATTCTACAGATCATTCTTCCAACGTCCCTTTGATGTTCTTCCCACTGAGGGTTCCCCGTGGCTTCCCTCTGAAAGCAGGTAAGGCTTGCAACACTCAGACTGGTAGAACCTGGTGGCAGTGATACTTGCTGGTTTCTGAGGCTGGGTCACAGCAGGCCAAGCAACTTCTACCACCTCTCTCTTTGGCTAGAGAAGAGGTCACACGGGGAGACCACACGTTGATGTTGGCACATGTTCATCGCCCAGCTGAGGTCTCAGCCACCAGTGAGCACCAACCACAGACATACATGTGGGTGAGGATGCCTCTGAGATGACCCTAACCTCGGCCACTGTCCAATTGCACTTATTCAGAGCCTGTGAGCAAAAACCATTAGGATGAGCCTTCTCAACCCCAGAGCTGTGACAGGTAACAGAAGATGTCTGTGGTTGTTTCAAGCCACTGTATTTTGGGACAGCTTTTCACAGTAGCAGAAAACAAGAACGCCGTTTGTGCATGACTGTCACATAATGATCTGCACCAGTTTGATCCCCCTGTGAATAGACAGCAGGTCTAACATTGCTTCAGGTGACATCCATCTCTCCTTCCACAAATAGCTGCCAGAGCTCTGGCACCAGAGTCTCCTCCTGGGAAGAGCTAATAGACTCTCCGCCAGTGTTCTCTAACATTACTGAGATCCATCCTTGTACCCGTCCTCTATGGCCTTCCCTTTAAAATGTCCCCATTTCTCCTATTCCCCCATCCCACCTGAAGGAGGACCTCAGGATGTCACAGATTCCTCAGGATGAGAGAGTTCACCAGCTGCTTGCCTCAATGTCAGGAAAGAGCCTAGAGCCCAGGTGTCCAAGAAGACAAGAGACACGTACCATGGTCTGACCCGTGGCTCTTGTTCTTTGACCTCATGACTTGATAATTCAAGGCAAACCCAAAGGTTGCCACGGTGTGTCATTCTCCTGAGGCTGGCAGCTGAGTCACATGGAGGAAGCCAACGTGTGGAGTGTCAACTGGGAAAGTGACAAAGCTAGTGTGCTGCCCAGACCCATATCTCTACAGAACCTCCCTACTGAGCCAACAACCAGAGCCTCAGAGAAAGCCAACTTCCTGGCACTGGGGGCTAAGGTCTAAGAAAGTGACAGTTCTTAGGTAGGGAATGATGCCAAATCCAGTGGGATTTACACTTCTGGGGATTTGCAAAGATCTCCACACATGGTGTTCCCAGATGCCAAGTGTCTTAGTGCTCAAAGGGCAGGGAAGGCAAGCTTCTTGACTTAAGTGTTGGGACAGCAAGCCTTCCCTGTAGCCAGGCTGTGGAGGACACTGCACAGACCCACTGAGCTGCTATACGCAGGTTGGACCGTGGGGGCAGCCACACCTCACCTGCTTCTGGCTGAGACTCTAGAGACCTATCTTCAGTCCCTGCCACCCAGAGGAAAATCAGGTTCCCTGTCTCAAGGGTAGGATGATGACTCTGGCTGAGGATTTCTGTGTAGAACATCTTCGACTTGAGATAGGGCAAGTTTTTCAGGCTCTGACACCCTGTGGGCTCTTGGCAGCTGGGTTAATCAGACCACAAGCATGTCCACATTCCGTGTCTAGCTAGTACCATCATCTGCAGGATTCACCCCAGTCAGTAAGGTGCCTGCTACTCCTCTATGCTAAAGAGACCCTGGTACAAGGGGGTCAAAGAGTTTGCTCATTAGAATGAGATCAGTGTCATATGATGTTCAATTGGAGGTTTTGACTGAAGCTCTCAATACTAAGGAGAATTAGAAAGACCAGTCCAAAGCCTTAAAAATGGAGACACCCAAATACTGCATACATGACTTGTGATGCCCTCATCCACATCATATATGTTGGTGTCAAAAGGTCCAAAGGAAGGCTGCTCTCAGGGAGGATTTCTTGGACAGAGCTGTTGGTACACCCTGCAGCAACCCATCCCCCCACAGAGTCTCCCACCTTAAGCATGAAGAGTTGGGCTCTAGGGGCTTACTTGCAGAGCTATAGGACAAGTGGAGACTAGGGTTTCTAATTAAAGTCTCCACAGGGAAGAGCAGGAAAATGATATAAAGGTGCTTTCTGATGATATTCTGTGAGTCCAGTTTATTCACCATGTGGCTGAGACCCTGAAACTTCCCAGTAACCCTTGTTACAGTACTTCCCATTGTTCCAAACACCATCACACCCAACACCATCTAGAGAGACAGACAAGGTTGGAGCTATTATCCCTATTTGGCACCTGAGGATACTAAGGTTCTGAAAGGGTAAAAAACTGGTTTCAGGTCACAGAGTAAGTCCTTGGCCCCACCTGGGGTGACCACTCTTGGCTTCCTCACTTGCATGGCATTGTTCAGGATTATAGATCTATGCTCCAAATCAACGACCCCTGCATAGGTTTAGAATTCCACTTCTACTACCACTTGTGCAACAGGGACAGGTAGAGCCTGAGAGGAGGGTTTTTGCCTCCTCTCCCCCAACCCCTGCCTGCCCAAGTATGTAGCAGGAAAATTCTGATAGTCCAGAGGAAAAAGAAAGTTATGCACTGCTGGAAGGATGTCTAGAGTATGTACTGAGAGCTCTAAGCTCTGTCAAGTAGGAAATGCATCCCAGCTTTCCTTCATTGTTGGCATGGTAAACATATTTATTAAGCTAAAACTTACTCAAATACACAGAAAAACCGATGATTCCCATTCTTGGAGAGACCTCCCACCATTATATCCAGAGTATTGGGCCTCTGATCCCACCTGCTCATAGCTGGATAGGGTATGTGTTCCTGCCAGCCCCCAAGAGACCCACCCTACCGTCAACTCAGGGCACACTGAGAGGTAGTCCCAGATAAGCAGAGGGTGGTTTGACCCACGTGACAAAGCCTCTCCTAGCATTCTGCGGGCCTGGTTTTCTTTAGGCAGAGAAAGCTTGCTAAGTGTCCTTTACAAGGCTGACAAAGGAGCCAGCAGGGGTCATTTGTGTATAACATCAGACCCAAATGGTCATCAAAAGATGGCCACCACAAGGCAGGACGCAATCGGGTTCTTCTTTCGAGTTAGGTCATATCTTCTGTGTGTGGGTGTTTTCTGTGGGCCAGGCACTGTGCTAAGGAATCTTATTTATTATTATTCCCAGATGGCAAATAAGGAGATAGAACCTCCGAGGATTTGCACAAATTATCTAAGTTTTTCACAGCCGTAAAGAGTGAGGAGTGAGGATTTGCGTACAAGTCTATGGATCTGTCCAGAGGGCCAGACTGATGTCCTCTCCACGTCCCCTTCCCTCCTGCCCCCTCTTCCCTCTTACCCAGGGCCTTCATGTAGCCTTCAAAGTTGTCATTACTCTCCATCTCCCAGGTCCCATTCTGGTCCCTCGTCATGGTGACGGCCTCTGGTCTGGTGTGAGTGTGTGGAGAAGGTCGAAGAGCAGGCTGCAGGGAGAAGGTATTGAGAGGAGGTGTTTTTATAGCTTAGTGGACCAGGTTTATGGCTCTGAAGATAACCGATTCAAAGGTCATATGTACAACTCAAAGGAACTTTCCTTTCCTTGGCAAAGTTCAGCAGGTCTGTGAGCAAATCAGGCACAAAGTTCTAGTGTGGCCAGGCGTATATGTGTGGGTCCCAGTGACCTCCACCATATGGAGAGCCTGGAGCAGCTCATTTTTGGCTGGCTGGGCTCCTGCAGAGCCCCTGACCCCACACAGGACACTCCATCCAGTTCCTGAGGAAAACAAATACTCAGTGTCCACTCACATACATTATAGATCACCATCTCCCGGGCTCCAACCAAGACTCAGCCAGCCATGTAGCCAGCACTCCTGACCAGGCTAATGGCACTGGGAAGATGTAACCCACCCCTCTGCTCCACTCTGTGCCAAGCAGCATTCATACTGCGCCTAGTTTTAGCTCCCAAGAGCTCAGAATTGTGTTTAACATACTCCTCTCACAAATAAGAAAGGTTCCAGAAGATTAAAACACATGTCCAAAAATGACTTGTAAGTGACTGAGCCCGCATTCAAACCCAGGCCTGTCTGTCCCAACGCCCTTCCCTTCACACTTTGCTAAGCCAGGTTGGAAAGAGGATTGGAACCTGAAGTAGGAGTCTTCCTCTCCTTTGCTTCGCAGAATGGTGTTCTTGAGCAAAGCCTGTCTGGAAACATGAATGGGCCAAAAGCAAGCCGGGCCTGGAGAGAGGGTGGATGGGAGCCAGAGGGGCATTGCGACTCTATTTAAGACCCCCTGAGGGAAGCCAGCGATTGCCTGAACCCAGGAGGAGGGTACGTAATTGGCACTTGGGCCAGGAATGTTGGTTCAGGAATGTTCTCCAAATTGGCTGTCCCAGGAGATCAGATAATGGGTTGGTTTATAGCACTGACACCTGTTCTGGGACATGAGGACAGTCCAAGGCTCCACAGAAAGAAGTGTGGGCTGCTCTGGATACACCACGAGTCCCCAAAGAGAGGCCATTTTGCTGGGGCTATTTTGCTGTAACCCATGTATTCTTCTGCTGTGAAATCTAGGTAAATGGCTCTGCCTGTGTGCTTTGAGGGATGTAAAACAACATGTTTATCTTTCAGCAAATACACACTGGAGTCAGGAAGAGGCCCGGTGAAAAAGGGCTCAGCTGTTATCAAAAGGTCAAGGTGGGGTGAGGGGGGCAGATGGGAAATGAACTGAGGCAGCTAGACAGGACGGGACAGAAAGGGAGCTTTGGGGATTCATCCTCTGAGGTCCACCCAGAAGCGACTACGTGCTCAGGCTTCAGGATTGCAGAAGTAGGTCTTCCCCTCCAGGCTCAATTTAAGGCCACCCACATGACCCCTCCTGCCACCAACAGAGTTCACCATAGGTCTCCCCCAAAATAATGGAAGAAAAGCTGGCCTGAGGGGGAGAGCCCTGCAGATAAGGGAGGGGTCGCCAATTGCAATAAGTCAGGAACGTGGGTTTTCATGGGCATGGAGAAAGGAGGCCCTGGTCCTGTGTAAGGCAGGAGGTTGAAACCTATATTTCTGCATAAAGCCCAAACTCTGGAAGGGCCACTCCTTCTGTGAGCACATTCACTAGTCCAAATGTGCTCAGAGACAACAATAAAGTTTATCTATTTAGCTTGATATCTACAGGGGTTTAAAAAAAAAATTCTGCCCTGCTCTGATCCTGACTTGAGGTTTGAATTTATGCTTCCAGGCTAGCCAAGGACACTCTAAGATAAAGAGCCCTGGGCTTCTGATATCTATGGGATTTTGAGTCAAAGTAAAGGTGAAAGCTGTCTGGAAGGAAATACCAATCAGAATTCTCTGTGATAAATATATCATGTTGAATATGAGCTTATAATCCAAAATGATAAAACACATATAATCTAATTCACCAAGAGCAAGAATTAGCAGTTAAATAAGATTTCTGAGAGCTTTGGGTAATAAAATGAACAAATACAGTCTATAAACCAAGTGTGTTTAAATGACTTCAGGGAAGCACTGAAACTCTTTAAAAAGAAGTGAAATAATGGTTTGAAATAGATGAAATTTATCAAGGAGTAGTTTCAGATGTTAAAACTATAGTTTCTAAAATTACAAAGGTAACAGATGGTCTAAACAGCTGATAGAACACTGCTGAAGAGAGAATTTGTGAAATGGAAGAGTCATGAATATTTTTCTCAGAGGTGAAAATTTAGGAAAAATAATAATGAAATTTAAAAATCTTCCAAATATTAGAAAAACACAAACTGTCTATATAAGAACAATGCAATAATCAGATTGATATCAGACTTTTCAGATGTGGTGGAGTGCAACACTGGTTCATTATATTAAAATGAAGAGGGAAAATACTTTCAAACAAGGATTAAACCCAGATGGCTATCATTCAAGTGTGAGGGTATATATATATATACATACTATTTCATATTAGATATTATAGCTCCAATCTGGGAAACAACCCAGACTTCAATCAATAAATTGATAGCACATTTACACAAGGGAATACTACTTGGCAGTAACAATGAATACTCTCCCACGAAATATAAAGACATAGATGGATCTCACAGAATTATCTTGGGGAAAGAAGTTTGACACAAAGGATTATATACTATATGGTTTCATTTATATGAAACTCTAGGAAAGAATTAGTCTAATCTACAATCGTATAAACTAGATCAGAGTTTGAAGTGAGAAGATAAAGGTAGCCCATGAAAAGGCACAAGGGACATTTCTTGGAGGAGGGGCACTTTTTCTATAGGTTGATTGAATGGTGGTTATATGACAATTGTCACAATTCAAACTCTGCACTTGAGACCTGTGCCTTTCTATTGTATGCAAATCATACATACCTCCATAAAAATGAACAAATAAGTGCTGGTTTTTAACAGGAAAAAGATTTAGTAACAACTCAAAGTAATGTCCTGTGTCACCCACATGAGCAGCTATCTGTGTGATGAAGCAAACGTGATAAGGAGGCTCTCACTTCTGACTGACTAGGTGTTTGTGAGACATACAATTTTAAGTATTATCTTAAAAATGTAAGAGTCTTCTCTGGAGCAGTGATTGTCAAACTCCGGCAAGCATCCGAGTTGTCTGGAGGGTGAGTCAGAACACAGGCGACTGGGCTCCAACCCTAGAGTTCCTGACTTAATGGATCCGGGGTAGGGTCCAAGAAATGACATTCCTAAGTTTCCAGATGTTGCTGCTGCCACAACTTGAGAACTACTGCTTTAGAGTGACAGAAATAAGAGGAGGAAACCAGTACAAACGAAAAGAAAAATATAAAATCTTAAAGTTTTGGAGTCGGCCATGCCAAGTTTTGAATCTAGGTTTTACCACTTCCTGGCAGAGGGGACCCCCTGGACACTGAGTCTTGGGGTCATTGTAAGATTTAAAATAGACAAAAAGAATTTATAAAAAAACATTATAAAACTCTCAGCAGAGTTTCTGGCACATAACTTGTATTTGTTTCAAGAAAGTAGCTGGGATATGGGGATATGAACTAAGCTTCAAAAGCCTTCAAAAACAAGCCTTCAAAAACAGCTTCAGCCAGCTCTCCAACCCCAGATCTATGTTTATGAGATGGGGTGGTACTGTGGGTAGGGATGAATGGACAGTGGATGAGAAAAAGTATCGGCCACTCAATAACACAGCCATAAATATCCCCTACACCTTCCTTGGAAGGAAGACCATTAATTAAAATTGGCAGCAGAATTCCCATCTTAAAAGTTTTGTCCCAGGGCCTCCAAGCGTATCCAGCCATACTAACAAACCACATACCTGAGTGATTCCGCTTCTAATTTACTTACCCAAGTCTGAATTACTTACCTGAGTCTTTGCAGAATGCCTCAGGTGACTTTTTAACCCTGGAAAAAGTTACCAAGCATAACCTACCTTTCTAGCTCGCAAGGTTCTTTCTGGAGACCACAGGAAAAAGGGCAGATGGGTCTCTCTAGAAGCTTGGTTCTGAGATCCATCAGACAGCAAAGAGTGCGTCTGCACAGGTCTGTTATGGTTTAGATGAGGTCTCCCCCCTCCCCAAAGCTCACGTGTGAAACAATGCAGGAAGGTTCAGAGGAGAGATGATTGGGTTGTAAGAGTCTTAACCCAACCAGTGAATTAATCCCCCGACAGGGATTAACTGAGTGGTAACTGAAGTGGTGGGGTGTGGCTGGAGGAGGTGGGAATTGGGGCATGGCTTTGGGGTCTATATTTGTCTTTGGCAAGTGGCATGTCTCTCTCTCTGCTTTCTGATCATCATGTGGGCTGGTGCTCTCTGCTACACTCTTCCACCATGATGTTCTGTCTCACCTCAAGCCCCAAGGAATGGAGCCTGCTGTCTATGGATTGAGACCTCTGAAACCATGAGCCCTCAAATAAACCTTTCCTCCAGTTGTGCTGGTCAGGTCTTTTAGTCACAGCAAGGAAAAAACGAACTAAAACGAGGTCCAAGCCATGCCTGTGGTCTTTGGGAGCATCTGACTGTGTGTAGCTGGGTTCCTGGACTCCCGGACTCCTCCACCTGCACACAGCCTCTCCAAGGCCCAGTTCCATACAGATCTATCCAGCTCCATCCTCCGTTCTCCTTCCTCTTAAGGTGAGGAGTCTCCTTGTAGGCCAAAGGCCCTCTGCAGGCTGCTGCTTACCTTCACAGCAGGGCCCCATCCTTCCCCTCCCTTGGGCAGTGCCCCAGCGCCTTGTACAGCCCAACTGCACATGTCCACTGCGGGAACCAGGTACTCCATCAGATTGTCTTTACCTGGAGGAAGGGGCCTGGGAAGGGCTTTGATTTAGTTTTTCACGTAAAATTGTGCTCCTTCTCCACTTTTGCTCCCAGAAGGCAGAGTAAGAGAGCAGGGAAGCCTCAGATTTTCATTCCTCCCAGGGCTCCAGGGATCAAATGCTTTGGTCTAGGAAGGAACGAACCCTTAGCAATCCCCTTCCTTTCTTTCCTTGTAACC